GAGAGAGACAGAGACAGAGACAGAGAGAGACAGAGACAGAGAGAGACAGATACAGAGAGAGACAGACAGACAGACAAAAACAGAGCTCTTAGCTTGTCAATAAAGCTAGGAATCCTTAACCTAACCTTGTCAAACCCTGTGTAAAAAAAGTTATTAAGCATTAACGAAAAACATTACAATATGCAGAGTAAAAGAAAAGACGGGAGAAGTGGAGACGAAGAAAAAATATAATATGAGGGAGAGAGAAAGGAAAGACAGGAATGAAAAAAAATATCGAACACACACACACACACACACACACACACACACACACGGGGAGAGATAGGGGGGACATAGGGAGAGATAGAGGGGACATGATAACGACATACAAAATACTGAGAGGAATTGACAAAGTGGACAAAGACAGGATGTTCAAGAGATGGGACAGAGCAACAAGGGGACACAGTTGGAAGTTGAAGACACAGATGAATCACAGGGATGTTAGGAAGTATTTCTTCAGCCACAGAGTAGTCAGGAAGTGGAATAGTTTGGGAAGCGATGTAGTGGAGGCAGGATCCATACATAGCTTTAAGCAGAGGTATGATAAAGCTCACGGTTCAGGGAGAGTGACCTAGTAGCGACCAGTGAAGAGGCGGGGCCAGGAGCTTGGACTCGACCCCTGCAACCTCAACTAGGTGAGTACAACTAGGTGAGTACACGCACACACACACACATACACAGACACAGACACAGACACAGACACAGACACACACACGCACACACACACACACACACATACACACACACACACACACACACACACACACACACACACACACACACACACACACACACACACACACACACAACACACACACACACAACGCTTGTTACAACGCTGACATCAATCAATCCCAAAGAAAGCCAAACATCCGAAGAAAGAGTTTTATCTGCACCCGTAAAAACCGTCGTCTGAATGTACGAACTTTAATGGTGAAAGTTTGGAACAAGTCTTGGCTTCTCTTAGTCTCGAAAATCAGACGATGTTGACACCTCTATAAAGCCTGGCTGAGTTTGGGATTTATGGATAGTACCAGGGAGGGAGGTAGGGAGGGAGGGAAGTAGTGAAGGAGAGAGGAACGAAGGATGGATCAAGGAAGAGAAGGAGGGGAGGAGAGAAGGAGGAGGTAGCAAGGGAGGGAAGGAGTGAAGGATAGGGAGTGGGGAAGAAAGTATAGGAAAGAAAGGGAGAGAAAGAGTGTGGAAAAAGAGAGGTAGAGAGAGAAATGGAAAGAATAGAGGATAGAACAATGCCGGAGGAAGGGAGGGAGGGGATGAGGAAAAGAGAGGAAACGGAGGTGGTAGGAAGGGAAGGAGAGGGAGAGGTAAGGTGGGAAAGTAAGATAAAAATAGGGAAAATCAAGGGGAGGAATAGAAAGAAAGATATAGGGTAGGAGGTAGGGAGAAAGGAAGGAAGGAAGGAGGGAGGGAGGGATGGATGGAGGGAAGGATGGAAGGAGGTACGGAGAGAGGGAGGGAGGGAGGGAGGGATGGAGGGATGGAGGGAAGGAATGAAGGAGGGAGGAAGAGAGGGATGGAGGGAAGGAAGGATGGAAGGAGGTACGGAGAGAGGGAGGGAGGGAGGGAGGAAAAGAAGGAGGGAGGGAGGGAGGGAGGGAGGGATGGAGGAAGGAATGAAGGAGGGAGGAAGAGAGGGATGGAGGGAAGGAAGGATGGAGGGAGGGAGGAAGTGAGGGAAAGTGAGAGGGAGGGAGGGAGGGAGGGAGGGAGGGAGGGAGGGAGGGAGGGAGGGAGAGAGGGAGTGGATCTGATTGGCTATGTGGTTGTTGTTTCGTTTTAACTTTCTCACCTTTTTGTGGCTTTCTTATTCGTACCTTCTTCAAATGTCCATCTATAGTGTCTCCCTGTTTTGTTTTCTCACCTGCTCTATCCATTATGTAGTGAGTGCGCTTGTGTGTGTGTGTGTGTGTGTGTGTGTGTGTGTGTGTGTGTGTGTGTGTGTGTGGTGTGTGTGTGTGTGTGTGTGTGTGTGTGTGTGTGTGTGTGCGTGTGTGGTGTGTGTGTGTTATGTTGGACAAGAATAAAATAAATGTTAATGTTTCATTGTATTGTGCCTCGGATCATCAAAACACATCAATAATATCATGGATGTGACTGCTATTTTAACCATTATAGTCATTACACTCACTTGCGTTATGTCCAGTTATTAATTATAATTTTACTTATTAGTGATAATTGTGGCCACCTTTGTGGTACTTTTAGCTATGCTGTATTTTAAATAATGTGATTTTCCTCTATGATGTGATATTAGATTTATGCCGTCTAATCCATACTTAAGGATTTAAATTATTCTTGACTAGTCGTGAACAATTGATAAGCAGCCTTTTTTTAATGATTCGTGTAGTTTATGGGCTTTTAACCCGTTGCGGATGAGCATTACGTTCAACAATTACTGAACTCAGAATTTCCACAAGTGTCAAAGTGAACACCAGCAACTTACCTGAGATACCATCGTACGTCCACCACATCTCCCAGTTCCATCCCAGGCTCACGCCTACATCTGTGGCACACAAGAACAAGTATCAGAAGTGACAATCATGATGATGATAATAATAATAATAACAATAATAATAATAATATTACTACTACTACTACTACTACTACTACTACTTCTACTACTACTATTACTACTACTACTACTACTACTATTACTACTACAACTACTACTACTACTACTACTAATAATAATAATAACAATAATAATATTGATACCAACAACAACAACAGATTTGTTATATGTAAAATATGTTAGATGTGTAATAAAATTATATTATCTCAAGGAAGTATATTAGTGTGATTTTTGTCCATTGGAATCCTCGAGCGAATAGGTATTGTATTTGTTATGTAGGGATGTAGGGAGGGAGAGAGTTAGGAAGAAGGGAAGAAAGAAAGGAAGAGAGAGAGGCTGAAATGATGCAGAAAAGGAAAGGCTGAGGGAGGAGCCAAGGAGGGACTGTGAAAAGAGGAAAAAACGGAAAGAGGAGGGGGAGGAAGGAAAAAAAAAAGAAATATAGATAGGAGGGAGAAAAACGGGGGGGGGGGGATTTAGAAAGAATGGAGGGAATAGATGCGCAATGAGAATTTCGTAAACGTTTTGCGGATGAGACGGAACAAAGTAAATATTTTAAATTCAACACAGAGCCCAAAACTGAAAAAAAAAACTGTGACACAATTAGCACGTAACCCTCACAAAAATAAGCAAGGCAGTTAATACGACAATACTCGACAGTGGTGGCAGCAAATGGACGGGAGATAAGTCGATTATGTTGGTTATTAATGGAGGACTGGCAATGTGGTGACATGAAGCCCTTTCACAATGTCTCTCTCCCCCCCTCTTCACTCTCTCACTCTTGCTCTCTCTGTCTCTCATATCATATTAAACTCTATGTTTGCGCCTCCATCTGAGAACGAAAAAAAATGTTGTGTCCACCTGAAACTTGGTGAATTTGGGACTGCACAGTGTATGTACAGCGTCGGCGGCTCCTTATTAATCATTCAGAGAGGTGAGCCATCCCTGGAGGAGGAGCAGGAGGTCGTCTTCTTGCATCCTACCTTACCCATTCTCTCTCTCACGCACACCTGATGGATATAAGGTACATGTTTTGCCTCTGCAGCTTGTAACACTGCTGAGACTGATGTATCGCTGCTGAGACTAATGTAGCGTTACTGAAATTGATGTGCATGGGAAAGGCAGATAGCAGATTGATGTAAAGTTGCTGAGACTGATGTAAAGTTTCTGAGATTGATGAATTCTCTTTCGTTGCAGGCTGAGTGATGTGTGTGTGTTGTGTGTGTGCACGAGCGGACGCCAGAGGTGCTTGTTTTCCTCACACGTGGAGCAGTATCGTTAAATAGTGCTCCCAGGATTTTTCGTTCTAGTGCTCTTCTATGATATTATTAGCAATCATCGTACGTGAGTGAATCAGTGAACATACCTACAAGAGTGTAACGGCTTTCTAGAGTGTGAATAATGTGATAAGATCAAGAATTTTACAATTTAAAATTGAATGTGGGTGTTACTGGAAGTTGTGTGAGGGCGGGAAGAAAGGCAGCTGGTCATCAGGCCGCCGGCGGCAGTGTTGACACAAATAATAAAAAAAAACATATTTAATGGGTCAAGGTTGTGATTTTTAAAAAAAATATATGCAAATATCTGGTCGGTTATAGTAGTAGTGCAGTGACAAGCTCATAAACGAGTGATATAGTAAATAATGAAAGAAAACAAAATTTAGTCAGAATCCCCAGCAGTTAGTGTTGTGATTACAGTTAATATCAAATTTATTATGATCATAATACTAAAGAAAAAAAAACTTGAATGCTTGCTAAAAGCTACGGAGGGAGTTACAAACTGAAGGAATTCATAGAAGACACTACCAGGAGCCTCCATTGCCGTGCAGACATCACTTGCTTATGTGTGGCAGCAGTTTTGGTTAGTGTCTAAAGTCTCATAGTGTCTCGACCTGCTGGTTGTATGCTATACCATCACTCTCCCTAACTTTCAGTGCCAGGAGATAGGGGTAGCCCAGATAATATTTAGTAAGCTACCTAAAAGTCTTTTGAAGATTATGTAGCCTAGTGGCCCCCTCCCCCTCTTTCAAAGAAGCTAGTGAACGCGTTCGCACACACGTATACACCAGTAAGTATTATAGTAATAAAAATTAGTATATATTAATAAAGAATAGAGAAAAACAATTTTATAATCTTCAAAGAGTAGAGTAACTTAGCGTGACAATGAGAATCACGTAAAAGCGCACGCACATACACACACATACGATAAAGCTCATGGAGCAGATAGAGTGGACCAGGTAGCGACCAGCGAAGAGGCGGGGCCAGGAGTTGTGAAACGACTCCTGCAATTACAAATAGGTGAGTACGTTTCTTGCGGGAAATTGCTCCCAACTCCTCTCAGCTTCAGCGTCCTAGTTACAATTCCCTCATTATTTTCCCTTTCCGTTGCTTGCAGCACACTATATCCTTACCTCCCACTGCCTTCTACCCAACTACCCTGCTATCTTCTCCTCCCCCTCCCACCCCCTCCCACCCCCTCCCCCTTCCCCTCCCCTCCCCCTCCCCCTCTCCCTCTCCTATCCTTATATCACCCTCGTCGCCATTTTTAAGTGATTCCTTCTTGAAAATGACTCATCTAGACCTAACTAAGACTCATAACGAAGAATATGACAGGAGGTTCTGAAGGTGGAACACCAGTGTATGCAGAATTTTAAACAAAAGCGTAACAATATCAATATATGCCTTGACAGTTCTCTTGGTTGACTATCCCATTAGTCAGTGTGGTACAGAAGTGGCACTTTTTTATACAATGATAAACACTTTCTCAGTTTGCTGACAGCCCCGTTCAGTGTGATATTTAGTGTAAACAAAAGTTAGCTATGTTTCCTCTGTCATATTTCGTCACATAAAATATGTTTTATAAATCTGTCATTGAAATGCTTGAGTTTGAGTTCGGAAACATCAGTAAACGCCGCATTCCACTATGTTCAGTAGCTACGTCAGCTTCAGTGGATCGTTCTAGAAACGAATAAACAAGCTTAGATAATCCAACTACTACAATACTCTATGTGAGAGTTGCATTGTGGAAGCAAGAGCTTGCTTTGTTTTCCTGTCATATTCGCAGTGGGTTGAGACTTGTTGGGTGGACTGCAAGGGAAGGAGAGAGTGTGGGGACATAGCTGACGATCTGCCACACATCGATCATACTGTTTATAGGAAACCGTGAATATATGAGCTGAGGGTATGTGTGGTAGCGTCTTATGCAGGGTCAGTATGCCCATTGTGTGCTTTGGGCATATAACGTCTTTGCCATTGTTGAGTCAACTCAATATTCCTTGCATTACCACTCATAAATGATTCCCTCACTTTCACTTTTTATGCTTAAAGTGTGTAAACAACTTCTTTCTGAGCTGGAAATCTCTTTAGCTGGAAGCTACTCAGCTTCGTTGATCAGTGACCATTACGTAAAAAAAAGCAGTTACCTTACTCATCCGAGGCGAGTCTTTTTAGTAACTTAAAAAGATACAATGTGAATCACGAAACTGTACATTCGAATTAATCTATTTGAATCTCAAGATTTATCCTGTAGGAGTACCAAGAGGACTATGATTGTTGCTTCAAATTTGAGGTATTTAGAAAACTTTATCGTTACTATTCATGTAAAATATACCTCAAGTTTAGTAATTATCTCCTAGTAGCACAATTTATGTTACTGATTATCCAGATGTTTGTCTTAATCCAATTATATACCATTAATTAACTTAACCATTGACTTTATTATACCCAACAGTGCCAGGGAAGTCCTGGGTGTTGTTCAACGCTAGTGCCTGGCACTCCACGTAAGAATCTTCTAAGGTCATGAAAATTAAGAGGACATGAAAACTATTGCCTGGCACTCAAGGTAAGAATCACTTTCATACGTCTGTATATTAGAGTGTTTAACCATTCAGTGCAAATATAAATGGATAAGTTAACTCGTATCTCTAAAAGAAAAAATACTAAGTAATGGATGCATGAATTGATGTGCGACTGTTTGGGTTCATGTTTCAAGGAAAGTTATCATTGCAGGAACCTGATAATCATGTAGCAAACATCAATTATCTTTTTCTCTTTTCCCCTTTCAATTACTGCCTCTCGTGCTCTCTTCAATTCTCACTCTCTCCTCACTTCCCCTTCCCGTATTCTATTCTTCATGCCATCCCTCTCTCTGTCTCCCTCTCCCTACCTCCTTTGCACTATCTATACCTTCCCTTCTTTTATAATACATTTTTACACTTTAGAGACAGAAGGTTTAACTGGGGAGCAGCTGCTGAGTAACCTTTTCTAAAATTATATTTATAGTCACCAGGTAGGAAGTGCAGAAAAAATACTTCTAGTTGTGAAGAAGTTTTACGACATTTACCAGTGACTGACAGCAGTGACACTCACATGTCGTTGCTGATCATCTCTCGACTATTAGTTTTGTGAATTTGGATTATATTTGACTAATTAACTATCGATACTATATATTAATATATTTGACTATATTTGACCTTATTGGGACTATAATTAACTTTGATTATATTGGGGCCGTATGTGGCTATCTCGGGTAAAACACGGTCTATGTATGTGAGAGAACACGGGGGTTCAGATACTCGAAAACTCCTCTATCCTTGAGTTTAGTCATCCAACCCTCAGCCTTTTCTGTGGTCACGATCTTAATATTTGTTTCTTACTCTTTTTTTTCTATATCAATTCGTCGGTCTGAAGCAGGCTGTCTCATGTACCCGTATTAGCCACCACCTACTATATTAGTAAGTATCTGTATTCCAAAACAACTGTATTAACAAACATGTGTCAACAAACGTCTATATAAGCAGGCACCTGTATTATCAAACACTTGCATTCATAAATGCCTGCATGCATAAACTCCAGCCTTTCACACCTACGTATATTTACACACAAGAATATACAGGAAGATCTGCAATGTCTCGCATTGATTTTACCAAATAT